AAGGTCAAATCAAAACCATGCTGATCTGTTTCTTCGATATTAGGGGTGTTGTGCACAAAGAATTTGTTCCACAAGGTCAAACAGTGACAGGAGTATTTTATAATGAAGTTCTTAAGCGATTGTGTCATAGAATGTMTCGTGTGAGGCCGGAATTAGCCAAAAATGGTTGGGTCCTTCACCATGACAATGCGTCTGCACACTCATTAAAAGTTCAACAGTTTTTGACCAGTAGGAACATAACAACGCTCCCCCACCCACGGTACAGCCCTGATCTGGCTCCACTGGACTTCTGGCTATTTCCAAAGTTAACCTAACCAATGAAAGGACATCGCTATGAGGATTTGGAGGACATTCAACATGCCGTAACAACGGTGTTGAAGAGTTTAACTTCTGGAGACTTCCAGGAGTGCTTCCAGAAATGGGAAGAACGCTGGACCAAGTGTGTTAGACTCGGAGTAGAKTACTGTGAAGGCATGGGTGTATAAATCATTGTAAATATTAAATAAATRTTATAAAATTAAAAATCCTCGTTATTTAATTGCCACACATCGTATGAATAAATCAACTTATTGTTACTTACTCTAGTTGTATGAGTCTTAGTTGATCCAGTAGTAGCTAATCTATTTCCTAGTTGATTATTTGTAGTTCCATTCAGATAGTCCTGATAGAAATTCAATTCCAATGTAACATCATCCAATGGAGACATAAGAGAATTATGTACCCAAATCTGTAGCTTTAGTTGCTGACCAACAGGATATTGGGATGCTTCTGATAATAGTTTTTCATCACACTCACTAACAATTTTTTCTTCATTTAAATTGATTTCTACCAAAAATGTATATTTTATATTATTTTTAACTTGCTCTGCAAACATTTGGTTTAGAAAATTACCCCAATAAATAGGTGATGTGCAAACAATATCAAGCATCTGAGGGAACAATGTAAGACCGTATAATTTTGCAATACCCCATCTAGGTGGTAAATCATCATAAGAATTAACAGACCATCTTAATAAAACTTGTTCAGCAATATGTTTATTGCACTGGGAAACCATATCAGCTTGTCCTTCTTCACCACTACTAACCTAAAATTTAAATGACATTAAATTGGTATTGATAATCAAATGATAGAGTAACTAAACCTGTTCTAAACTATGAATTAAAAATCTATCAACAGGTACAGGAATTCTGTAAGATTCTTTTTCTTCCATTAAAATACTTTTATTTGTTGCATATTTAAGTTCCATTTCTTGATTAGTCATATTCACGACATCAAGTACCAAATAAAATTGGGAACCCCTAAAATACAAAGATAATGACTAAATTAATTAATACAATTATATAATTAACTCACGTTTCTGCTTGCAATACATCCCATCCAGTAACTAATACAGAATTGAAAATATTTAATGATAAAACACATGAAATTATCCTGCAATAACCAGCAGCCATACCTTCACCTCCAGCATATTTTATTTTAATATTAAATTCAATAACCTAAAGTTAAACATGTTTATTATTCATTTAACATATTTATCATGGACCATGAAAAAATTATGTAGGTATAATGAATATTTATGATTAACTTAATTTTCGAGTAAAAAATAATTTTTTGTGAATCATAAATACAATAAATTTTACTTTTAAAGATGTGATATCAGTTGGGCTTCGATATCTCGAACAATTTGAATTTAAACTGCTTTCTCCTGATCTGAAAAATATACAAATAATTATTTTAAAGTTAAAAATTATAATGTTATACATAATAGATTTTAAAAAAAATTGAAAATAAAATCTTTATCTGAATTTACCGAAATGAAGAAGTAGTCATTGGAGACAATCTTTCATTCCTTTGTTTAGGACTTGGTAATGATGGATATGAACTTGGGCCTGATATAGTTAAGCTACTTTTCAAACTATTTAATTCTAAAGCAATAAAAATAATAATTAATACAATATTTAATTAATATAAACTCAAGATTTGAACTTAATTACAATGGACAATGGAATGCATGATACTTTTTAATTAAATATTATGACATTATTACCTGCAAGTGGATATTGGTTGTTAGAAAGGAAATTTAATGCACCAGTTAAATGAATCCCCAATACAATTTCTGATTTAGGAGTAATTGGCAAGTAATCCTTAATATTTTCAGTGTCAATTTTAATTAAGCTATTTTTTAATGAATGTTCAATGGTTGATTCAATTGATATTTCCAAAAGATCAATAGAAATTGGTCCAACATTTGATATTTTTAGGTTATAATCCACACTACAATTAACGTAAAAAAAACAATAAGTATACCATTAAAGACTGTAAATGATATTAAATTGTACATACCTTTCACCAGCAAATAATGTAACATTAGATATATTACAATTTTTTGAATCTAAAATGAATGCTTCCAGAATGGGCATTGACGGAATAACTTGTACATTATATGTGGTTTCTGGAACACTTGRAATATTTTTAAGACGACAATTTGATTTTACTCCTAATGTATGTGTTGAATAACCGTTAATTTCAATCTCTCCAACTTCTTTAGGTATTCCAGTTAACACAACATTTTGATAACTAACTTCTGGAGGTAAATTTATGGAAAATGGAATACTTTCAAAAACAGCTCCATTAGTTAATAGGAGCTAAAATAAAATTGCAATTGGACACAATTATTATAATTTATAAYATTATATTAAAAAAATAATTAGTTATTAAATAATACACTTACAATATTTGTTACTTCTAATTCAAAGTTTAATGGATTACTAAGTTCTAGAATAACTTCACAAGGTTCATTTATAACCCAAACATATTCCATTTTATTACTTTTGATATTATATTTTTCCATTGACCCAAACTTCAATGGAGTAAATAAAAACGGACCAAAATCTTCCTTAGGTTTCACTAACTTATGCGGCCTTAAGTGAAGTTTTAAATTTTGAACAGAAAAGTTTCTAAAATAGATAATAATAATATTATAGATGGTAAATTAATTTGTTAAACTGAAGCTTCTTACTCAGGTTGTGGAATATTTAAAAGATTTGCTGGAGGTATTACAAGTCCATTATCCAATACAAGAGGAACAGGAGAACCTTCACATTGTGCAGATAATACAGATAATTGTGTAGCATAAGCACTTCTTTCTATTTTATCCATCATCCACCACATAGTTTGTAATAAGAATGTACAATGCCTTGTTGCTAAACTAGCATTTCCCACTCTTTTTGCAGCTAATACAATTTCATTAATTACTTGTCGTTGTAATTCAGGCCATCCAAATTGCCCTCCAGTAACATAATCATTTGGATCTAAAGATAACTTATGTCCTGGTAACATTTTAAGTAATAACTGATAGCACTGTTCCCAGGAGGTATGTGGATTACTAGCAGAAACATATCTTTTTGAAGCCAACCATTGAAAAAATGATGCTTTCCGATGAAAGCCAATTTCTGAATATAGTTCTGCTAATTTCATTAAACGTTGTATCTGAAAAATAAATAATGTTTTTTTTTAACTTGTTTTTTAGTTTTAAACTAAGTATAATTCAATTAATTCATTATTATATTGAAAAATATTAGAATTACTTTCTCCTCGTCGGTCAAAGTCAAGTTCACGGGTAAAACATTTTGTAAAAAATAATGTACATGGATAAAATGATGATGGTCAACTGCTATACGAGCAGCTTTTAGACTTCCTTCAGTTAATACTACTCCAGCATTTAAATACTATAAGATAAACAAATATATTACACGGGTATACTGTATAAACTTAAACATATAACACAAATCGCAGTACTGATTATTTTCCATACTTGTGGGGAGAAGATAATTTTACATAAAAATTTATATTCAAACTACTTCTAAGCTTATGTTTATTATACATTGAACCTAATACCTAAGGTATGATGACTCAATCATCATAATATATTTTTAATTTTTACTAAAGGTGAATATGTAGTTTTAGTAACACTTTTTAGTTATATGATGTAAATTTCAAACAGTAATTTGATAAAATTAAATGACATGACAGAATTTTGAATTATATATTATATATTTTGAAATATATATATATTTATTGATTATCATACATGTTGCATTTAATATATAAATATTGTTTAATTTAATATTTTAAGTTTTATGTAATAATTTTTATTTAGATAACTGAAAAATTACCAATCATGCTGTCTGTATTTAATGAATTAATAATTTATTACATTTTCACCAGCTACTTACTTTACTATAGTGTTTAAGAGCTTCACTATAATTCTTATAAATGTCATCAATGCTAAGTAAATTCTGAGGCATTGCAGATCTTACAATATTATCATCTAATGAAACAAAACCAGTATTTGTGGATAATGGTCTAAACCTTCAAAGTAAATTTCCAATTAAAAAAATATCAAACAGTAAGTAATATACAATAACTAATGAGAACATACTTGAACCTAGAATGACGTTCTTGAAGTGAAGCATTTCTTTGAAAATTTGATTTTGTTAGTTGATTTTGAGGTTGTTGTATCATTAATGATGTTGCACATAACCCTTCCAAACATCCTTTATATAGAATAGTTATGTCAATATATTCAAAACTGACTTTATTTTTTAACTAATAATTAAATATAAAAATTACCTCCTAACCAAAGCCAATCATTACATGAACGTAGTGTATCTATAGCAGTCTGATAGAAATTAAGAGCATCATTTAAAAATCCAGTTTGCAGATTCAAATCAGCTAAATGCTTGGTTACACGTCCCATACAACGTTTCTTATTAGCTCTAGACTCCATGTCCAAACCAATAATATTACGTTTTTCAAATGGAGCAATTAATAAAGTAGCTTTATCCAACTAAGAGAAAAAATTTCAGATTTCAAGATATTTAAAATATCTAATAACAAAACATCATACTTTTTCTTTAGATTTTTCCAGACGTTTTGCATCCAATACCCAAAACAAAGAGGACAAAAATTCATTTAAATGCATTTCAATCGAAGGATTTGGATCATTATCACTGGCATAATATACATCTCTTGACTTGAAATTTGATGGTGTACTTAATTCAGGAGAGTTTGGAGCATTTACACCAAATATAATACATCGTGAATCAAATAGAGTAGATTGATATTTAACTTTTAAGCTCTCATGTAATCTACATATTTCATTTAACTCTACTTGAAGTTTGCATTTAGCTAAAAAATAAAATACACATACATTACATACATTGATRATGTATAGCTTTTAATTTTCATACAGTTAATACATTGGTTTTTTTTTATTAATAAGCATATTATAATATTTATGTAATAAACAAATCCTAWACTTACAAACTGTTATGAGACCTAAAAGCCGTCTATGTGTTTGAAAATCACCCCAATCATTATTACCAACTGGATATTCTTTAATATACCTTGCTTGGACACATCGTTCTGAACCAGTGCCATCTACTACACGTAATTGATTGATCCGACATATACGTTCAAAAAGACGGTTAAAGTTTTTTGTTGATAATTCTTCCCCTGAAGACAATACATTTTTTCACTCACAAGCCAGCAAAACAATGAGTAAATAGAAAATGTAAATTAATAACATGCCAATAATAACCATTTACCTAGGTGTTTCACCAGTATAAGTAGATTACCATGATCATACACAGTCATCTCATAGTCTGGATGAGACATGTTTGGGTCTTGCGTTGGAGTCGACAAAATGGCACTAACTGAAGATCTCATCGAATCCTGAAATTTAGTGCAAAAAATGAAAATGCACATTCAAAACATGTCGCATCTCACCTGATTTTATATCCACACTTAAACAAAAACAATGGTTGATGGTGAACACAAAATGGATTTAAACAAGGAAAATTGTATCATTATCTAAATCGTAGACAACTCAATTCTCTGAGAGAACGAAATAATAATAATAGTTGATCATATTATTAGTATTTTAGTGACCAGTCCTATGACTATAACAGATTGTTAAGTGTCAACCGTAAAATTTATTTTCGTATTTGTAATTTCATTTTAATTTCAAATTTTTGAAATCACTTATCTAATATCTACTTTAAAAGTACAAAACAGCAATATCGAAGTAGATAATAAACTTGATTGAACATTTTACTATTGATAACAGTGGATCCTGTACTCATAGATAATAAAGAAATTCTAAAACTATATTTTCACAGATATTCTGTCATATTGTTGTATTTACTATTTAGAGTTCGTTAAAGATATTTTTAATGGTAGACGGTGGTAACAAGTAGGAAAACATAAATATATAATATTATAATATTATATTTTCACAGATATTCTGTCATATTGTTGTATTTACTATTTAGAGTTCGTTAAAGATATTTTTAATGGTAGACGGTGGTAACAAGTAGGAAAACATAAATATATAATATTATAATATTATATTACCATCATTCATCAAGAACAAATTATTATTATTTATTTATTTGTTTCAATCAAAACCAAATAAACAAGAATTAAATAATCATAGTATATATTGCATTAATAWTAGAGCTATAAGATTATATCTGGTACCTATATRGAAAAACCTTGGTTAAAAGATTAAGACTTTAAATTATCGTTATTAAATGTCTTGTTACAGTTAAAATAGGAATAAATGTAAAACAATTACAATTACAAGTGATGTATAGATGATATTATTAGGGGGAAATTTAATCTCTACAAAATAGAATGGGTAAATAGCAGCTAAGAAATTATCTTTAGTACCTTGTATCATTGATTACAAATCTACTATATTTTTATTTTGTACCATTTGTACCTATCATATTCATATACTATTTATACCGAAGGTAAGATAACTTGTTAGTTGTTACGCCTATTATTTTGTGCTTCATACATACTTATGTACTTTTCGTACCTATTAATCTCATTAAATATTTTTAAGTTTTGTATATATTATGAAAAATATCTGTTGTAAGTTTACAGTATCAATGTTCAAATGTAAATCAAGTGCATGGTATATGTCTCACCACAGTGATAGTCGAATTTTGATATCTAACAAAAGAAATAAATTAAATGTTGTTAAAGTACCTTGTTATTAAGTTATTATAGTATAAATAATATTTATATACCATACCTTACCTGTACAAATAGACAACA